TCAAAGCCAGGAGTTTTCTGGCTTAAGGAAATGGCTGCTGGAGCACCCGTGGGAGCGGTGATGGACCTGGGTTGCACCCAGGTGGTGATTTTGGAGGCTAAATCCTTGTGATAAAATCAGGATGCCACCCGTTTTAAATTTTAAGCTGGCTCAGGTAAGCCTGTTTAATTGCTTATGTGACAGCCTTAGCAGTCAGTGTTACGTTTATGCAAGTTCTGCATTTAATCTTTAGCAAGATCACTGTGTTGAGCACGAACAGAATATCATTATGGGACCATGTACAGCCAGATGCCAAATAGTTTATCATTACTCTTATTTCTTTAGGTAATCTCTTACAATTCCAGCTGCTGAGAATGAGATATGTGTGTGTATATATATATATATATATATATATATATATATATATATATATCTGTAAGCAAGTTGCTGTCTTAAGATTGGCAGGAAACATGCAATTACCCAGTTTTCTGGAGACCAATCAAACCCAAAGTTAAAACTTGCTTCATACAAGTCAAAATGCAGGTTCAAAACCTTCTCCTACAAAAATGTACAATGATTTTTTTGTAAGACTCTTATAAAAAGAATATATAAAAACAACAACAGTAATAGGATTCTTATGCTATATAACACAAACAGCTATAATTTTTATATTCACTGGTCTCCTGGTTCAAGGTCAGATTCAAACACATATTTGTCTCACAACTGGACAGTGTTACATTTATAGTTTTTTGTGGGTTTTTTCAGGCTGTGTGTCCATGTTCTAGAAGACGTTTCGCCTGCATCTGTGACTGGCATCTTCAGAGAATGCATTCCAGCATTCTCTGAAGATGCCAGCCACAGATGCTGCCAAAACATCAGAAAGAAACTCTTCTAGAACATGGACACACAGCCTGAAAAACCCCACAAAAAACTATGGATGCCATCCATGAAAGCCTACGAATTCACAGTGTTACATTTCTTTCTGATACCTCAGAAATGAGATACTATATTACAAGGTATTTTATGTTTTCATCCCCTTTTCGAAAAGGGGCGTAAGGATCAAGCTGTTCTTTGAAAAAGAAACAAGAAATTAGACACAGACACCTAATTTCATTTCAATACCTTTGTGTTCAGGGGGAGGGAAATAGTATACCCTCCAAATGTTTCAATTAGTAGGGATAGTCTTGATTAATCCTCTGCCATCCCAGTTGATTTTAGAAAGTTCTGGTTTCTCTCTCCTCCTCTCATTTTCAAGCAAACCTTGACTTTACTATACCATTGTATATAATGGGACTTGAGCATCCATGGATTTTGGTATCCAAGGGGGTCCCAGGAACCAACCTCCAATAGATATCAAGAGCCTACTGCAAAAGGAAAGTCTGATATAAAAGTCTTCACTCTTCACATGCTCGGTGTGCCAGTATCCTAACATCTGGAAAGGACAATTTTTAAAGGGCTTGGGAAAGTTATTATTTGGACTACAGCTCCTAGAATTGCCCAGTGATTATGGCCAGGATAGTTGGGGAGATTCCAAGAGCTGTAGCCCCCAAAAAGGAATGTTCCCAAGTTCTGCTTAATAGCAAGCAGCAATAGCAGGAGGAATGCACACGCCATTCTTATTGCTAGTTTGAGAACTGTAGCACCTCTCAAGAGGCATGCTTTTGATCATTCTGATCCTGCATTTGCAAAGTTCTACTCAATTTATAGAAAAGCAGTAAACACAGCTTCCTTGTTTCCTTTCAAAACTGCACTCCTGAAGCCCTTAGAGATTACACAATCTCCCATAGAAAAGGAAGAATCGCAAAAGAAGAGTCCCCCGCAGGTAGTGACTGGACTCTCCACTGTCTTTAAAAACTGGAGAAGTCCAGCTGGTGGAATACATTTCACCTTTACTGGTTATTAAAAAAAAAACCTTAGCTGTATTCCATTGCCTCATTTCCAGATATATCTACATATGCTAAAATTGCCCTCCTCCAAAAGGCACAACTGGGACAAGCAAATATTTTAATGGGTTTTCTTTAAAATTTATGGTTGAGGCTGTAGTGCAGCTTTTCCCTGGCTGCTTGGAGCAATAAAAGTGGCTCTGATGTGATCTGTTTGTCTGTTTGCTCCATCTACAATATTATTCCAACAATGTAGCCACAGGCAGTAATGATGCATTTCTGTTAATAAAAAGAGAACCAAATGGAGATATTTAACAAGATAAAATATGGCACACAATTAAAATTCCCTCTAAATAAAAAACAAACGTCTGTTTTCCTAATAGAGGGCTTATATAAAATCTAATCTTTTACAAAGAAGCAATTCTGACCTTTGGGGATTCAAAATCTACGTGTTTTTAAAACCTTGTGCAACCATAAATAAGTAATTTGCATATTCCCCAGCAGACTTAGACAAACCATCTGCTATATGAAGCAACAGCCTTCTCGGCATGTGGA